TTTAAAGGACTATGAAAATGAGGCAGTTTTATGGAAATTTTCAACTTTTAAGGTTTTAGTTGAAGTAAATTGCTTTGTTTTAACACTTTCTGACAATTGGGCAAATTGAAATCAATACAAAGCATAGCATAAAAAGTCAATTTCATTTAATAAAAGGAGTAAGTAATACAAACGAAAATAATGGATGATATTTATTATTATTTTAAAATAATAATAGGAATGATAATTTTTCTAAACATGTTAATAAATGCAGATCAGAAAGCCAGTTTCTTGAGTAAGAGATAGACGTGGTTGTCCACCTCAAATCCGTGCAAGTTGTTGGGGTCACCTTGCAAACGCATCAGCAGCCCGCCAAAAGACACATACGCGGCCCTAGAAAAAAAATAAACAAACAAATAAATAAAAACATAAAATAATAATAATAAAAGCAAATTTTTTTTTTATCAAACAAAAAAATAATCATTTATTCGGAAGAAAAATAAATTTATTGTTAACTTCAGGGACGTCTTAAGATTTTTTGAGGCCCTGGACCCCTACTCAAAAGTAGGCCCTGAACTCCTATACAAATGTAGGCCTCACCTATAACCCTTAAAAGTAGAAAGCACATAGCATACGTTGTCTAATACTCGTACAAACAATAATCCGAAACAAATAAATGTGCACAAACCAGCTCGATCGACTGCCGCCTTTTGACTGAATGAGTAATGATGGTGTATGGTGGTTGGCCTAGGCATATGCATGAACTACGATCATGTAGTCAGTTGATATATCGTCCAAAATTCCCAGTTTTTCAGGGAATACAACCGGAAACAACATTTGACCTATCAAATTATTCGAATTATGATCATTAAGGCTGAGTCGAGAACGAGAAGAGCCTCCTCCCATTGCGGCCAAGGCCATGGGCCCATGTTTTAAGACGTCCCTGGTTAACTTTCACAATGGGAATGTCATTTTTCTATGAAGTCAAAATTAATATAAAAAATACATACTGAATATTTGATGATGCAAATCATAATTCTGAACAACAATCAAGCGACGAAAGCAATACACGAATACTCAAACCACGAATTGAGGTCCTTTTCTCCTAACTTTCACATCTGGCCATTAGATTTAGGGCCCCTTATACACGAGTCAACTTGTGCCGCACATGACAAAAGAAGCAAACATTCGGTAGGTAGTCCTGAATAGAAATCGCCCTGGTCCATTCAACCACGGTCAACTGGCTTACCCTCAAGCTTTTGAAAACCACGTTCTCCTTCGCGACTAGTTGACTCAACTAAAAGGGTATAGTGGAAGATACGCTCTTCACACGTAGATACCTGTGTACTGAAAATGGAGAAAGCTTTTCTATTGCTCTTTCTGAGAGCCCGGCACTCCCTTTTCAGTCAACTCTGTGTTCACGAGTGGAAGAAATTCGCTTACCTCTTCACACTACAGAAGTGATGACAAAAAACGAGTTGAATGTCACAAAGTTTCCTTCGAGGGTAATCGGTCTTACCTCATGTTCCACATTACAAATCTTTGTGGTGGAATCACACACAGTACACTCAAACCACAGCATAAATAACTCAAATTTTAACATCTTCATCCCTGTAGCTCACGATTTTAACCACTCGATTTTTTTTTATTACTAGAATTTTAATGAATTTTTTTTTACTAAGTTCATTAGATATTAGTAATTTATTGTGTATAATACGTTTTCATGTATATCAACCTAGTATTAGCTTAACTTTGTTGTTATACAAAATGAAGAGATCAGTGTGATGTCGTTTACGTTAGAGAACTAACTTATTTTAAAGGCATGAAGATTCTGCCCGATGTGTGGTTCCAGATCATATGTGGAATGCAGGCACGCAACTGGATCCCAAACACCTTTTTAGCTGTCCTTCCATTGTTGGTGCCCTTTTTAAAATAGACAATGTATGGACATTCTTTACTCGGATCGTGCCATAGATGTTACCACGGCAGTGATTCACGCCTTTGGCAATATCTGACTATATTTGTTTTATTATTACAATGCCTGCACTTTGTCATACACAACAACAGCAACTAACTTATATCTTACCAGAGGCGCAACTGTGTGTGTATGGGGTGAGGGATTTTTTAAAAGATAAATCTGTATTAATTTTTTATACGGATTCTTGTTTCTTGATGTTGTCCATTTATGGATTTTTAAGCCTAATAATTTGCCACGAAATGCAGATTTTTAAAGCTCTAAAATTCAAACCTTTTTAGAAGCATGAACGAAAGCTGACTTAGTTCCCGGAAGGTGAAAACCTAACCTCTCCATTTTATTCGAAACCTGTGAACTACGACTCCATGTTCTTATTTTTTTTTATATCGTGGTTATCATATTTTTATATTTTTTGCTAATTTTTTTCACCAATTTTTACCCAGATTTTTTAAACAAAAGTTTAAGATATGATTTTTGCCGACTCATTTTCATTAAAATTACCATAGAATACTAAATTTATACGTTACATAACATTCCATAATTGAAATTATAGACAAAATATTAAGTTCCTATTCATTCGTTTAAAATTTTGGAATCTTACTAGTTGAATTTTTATACTTTTGACATTGATGATGACCAAAATTTTTGATAAAACTAAAGCAGTAAATAGTTAAAACAATAAGTTTTCCCATAATATCAAAAATCTCAATTATTTTCTACAGATACACTAGTTTTAAATTTCAGATCAGGAATGAAAACGCTTCATCAAATTAATACCTAAGGAGTCTCAGGGGTGTTAAAAATTTCTCTAGAGGTCTGAAAATATAAACAATTTTCAAACAGGTATAATTCTTTTAAATTTAAATTAAATAATTCGAATCTTTTACCCATTATTTATAAAGAAATAGGGCTTCAGAAAAGTATAAAATGTTTAAAATATAATCATAATTTTAAAAATTATAAGCATATGAAAATAAGAAACTTTTCTATAAGACATTTATTAAGTTTTACGTCGCGCATGCTATTTTCTATAAAATAGTAGCTTTAATTACTAGCTATAAGTTGATTAATAAAGTTAAATGTATTCTCATTACACTGTAGCTATTTTTATATAAATAGAATAACTTCCATATTTTAATAAATAAAAAAATACATTTTTTAAAAATATTTAAAAAATTACATTGTTTTACAAATATTTTGAGATACAAAAGATATATAATATTAAAATTAGGTAGGGCTTAAAGAGTATGATGCATTTTATAATTCTTTAAAGTTTTATACATCAGAGGCTTCTATTTCAGAAAATAACGTATGCAACGCAAAAAATACTTAATATTTATCATAGAATTTTCATATGCTTATGATTTTTAAAATTATGATTATATTTTAAACATTTTACATTTTTCTGAAGCCCATTCTTTTATAAATAATGTGTAAAAGATTCGAATCATTTAATTTAAATTTAAAAGAATTATACCTGTTTGAAAATTGTTTATATTTTCAGACCTCTAGAAAAATTTAACACCCCTGAGACCCCTTTAATTAGAAAAAAATACCAGAAAAAAACAGTGAAAAATGTTCAGATTAATAAAAAAACACACACACACACCAACTACAAAATAACTATAAAGAGCATTGAAGACAGTATTTTATTTTCCAAGACATTTGAATGGTGTGATTTGAAATTTCGCAATAACTATTTATGATGCATCTTTAAATTCCGAAAATAAATAAATAAAAATAAATTTAAAAAATACTTCTCAATAAAAATAGACGAAAAAATTTTCTAAGCAAAATGATTTCGTAGATATATATAATAACGGAAATTTCATAATAAAACATTATGTTTTTAATCAATTAACAAACATTAGAAAATAGAACTTTTATTTAAATAATAATCTGACAAGGGGAGGGCACGACTAAGGAAATTCATTTGAGATCGAGACTTGGTATAATAGTAGTACTCTTTTAGGGTGTTCACCCCTCAATGTAATTCCGTCGAATGGCCAGTCAATTCGGAGAAATCAGCCTTCGAATTTCATGCTAAGCTTTTATACAATTAAATTTTAATTTTTCGCAACG